ATAAATAAGGTATCAATATAATTAATCAAACTCGAGATATTTAAAAATGATATTTTTTATCTTATTTTTTCCCAACCAAATTAGCGTGTGATTTATAATTAAAAAAAAAAATTAACCTTAACATTTTTAAATCAAATCTTAATTATTTAGATATATTTATTTAAAATAAATTAAAAATATATATTTTCAAATGCCTCACATTTACATGTATCGATTTAAAATAATAATGTTAAAGATAAATTACAATAATAGTAAATAAAATTAATTAAATAAATTATAAATATTAATTATATTATTAATATTTATATAATAATATAATAAATAAAATATAATTAGTTAGACATAACAAGATAATAATAGTAAAAATTTTAAATTTTAAATGCTTAATTACCTATATATATTTATCTATTAAAAAAACATTTAGATATTACATATATTTTTATTTTAAAATTTTTTAATTATCTATGATTAAGGTTATTTTAGAGTATCTTAAATTTTATAAATACAATATAGGAAATCTCATTATTTCCCCTTATTCTCAATTTTATATATAGTATAAACAATGTATATATATTGTTTTTTCATTTTAATATGAATATATTAATTTAATATATTTAAAAATTTATAAATAAAAATACCATAAAAATATTAATTTGAAAAAAAAATTTATTAGTTGTTATTTTATGAGGTTAATAAAATCTAAATCTAAATATATTATAAATACAAATATATAAGATGAAACCAACAACTCTTTGAAATTTGTCTCAGATTTGAGCTGTTGATTGGAAAACTTACCAAATATCTTAAATCAGCAATCAAAAATTTCTATCAGAGATCAGCGGTTAATTAAAAAAACTTAACAAATACTATAAATCAACAATGGCAAATACCCTAAATAAGCAATCAAAAATCTCTATCAGATATCAATTGTATATTAAAAAACTTACCAAATACCCTAAATTAGCAATCAAAAATTTATATCAAATATTAATTGTTGATGGAAAAACTTACCAAATACTCACTTATAAGGATACCGTCATTGTCATAAGAATAAAACTTTTTTTTTATTGTTTTTTATTTCCTTCATTCTATAATTAAAAAAATTTAAAAAAAAAATGTTTAAGAAACCACCACTAACAGTTGCTCAAAAACCCCCATTGAGTGGATGTTACTTGAGGAATTTTTTTTTTTAATTTTTACTTCTTTCAAAAATTTGAAAAATATAGGAATTCTTAGCAAAATCTCTAGCTCTAAGCAGTTTCTTGAGATTTTTTTACTTTTTTATTAATTTTTCTACATTTAAAAATTGAAAAATAAAGAAATGCTCAAAAAATCCAATGCTAATGGCAGCTTCTTGATCATTTTTCAATTTGTTTCCATCCTTGACTTTTCTCCTTAGTTTCAATAAATAAATAGAGATAAAATACAAATCTAACATGTTTTTATTTTGTTGTATAGGAAGTTTGATATCAAACCACTAATACAAACAATAAAAAACACAATCTTATTTTGAAGTATCTAGTCGAATTGACAGAACATAATGCATATGTCATAGGCGATAGTTTGATCCAATCGGTGGCCATTCATGGCCACTATTCGATTCCATGCTCTTTTAACAAGTTCAATTTGATATGCTTTAAATTTTCTCCTGTCAGAAAGTAGATCTGCATAATTGCTCAAATAATAAAATATCATAAATAAATCACCATAATGGTAATTATAATAATCCAGAGACTGTCATGGACTGTCATAATGATTAGATCTGAAAATAAAATCGCAAGATATGAGCAACAATAATCAACATATAAATAACAATAACTCAAATATATATATACATATATAACAAATCAATGAATAATTCAAAAAAAAAAAAAAAAAACACAAAAAGACAAAGGGGATCACCGGTGGGTTGTGGAAGAAGAAAATGGGACTTTTAGGTCTTGAGAGAAAAGGAGAGATGAATTAATGTCCGGGCCAAATAATATAATATAATGATAATTGATGGATTAAATAATTAAAATTTGAAAATCGAGGCCCTTAGTGGTGTATTTGATAAAATTCTAGGGACTAAATAGTAATCATCCACTCTTGAATTTATGTATTTTTTTTTATTTTATTAGGAGGTCCAACGGGGGGAAAGAACATTATGGATATACATATGTATTTATTAGTTCTATTGGATGAATAGGAGACTCGTAGAACTTAATTGGCGATAATCTTATAGTTGAGAGAATTCGAACTCAAAACATCTCACTTCTTACAACTTCTGTAAGAGATAAAGAAAACCAATTACAGTACAACTGATTAACACGTGTATTTATTAATTAGATGAGTTAAATTTTTAATTAATAATTTGGGTATTGAAACAGTAATTTCTATTAAATCTTCAAACTCTATCAAGATTTTCATGTGAAATGCATGACATGAAAATCAAACTTGGTTCTTGAATTCCACCAATATATTTAATTTTTTGTATTCATATAAAGGCCGAGGCAGTAGAAAACCACTATTAATTGTGCAAAATAAAACTATAAAGAGTGTTTTAAGTGATTAAACTTTGAATTTCAACTTTGCTATAATTTGGACACTGACATATTTGTAGTCCTAATCCTATAATGCAATAACGACTTCAATTGAAAAGTTAGATGTAATACAAGAAACGTTAAACGGCTTTTTTTTTTTTTTTTTTTTTTTCCCGGCCCGAGAGCAGTAGAAAACTCACCAGTTTAATTGTGTCATTAGATAAAATTACGGCTGTGTACACATGAGGTGTTATTAAGTTGATACCTTACAAGGCTTTGTATATCAAGACTTTTGCTCATATCACTATGGTCTTGTGATCACATATTACACAGATATTTGTAGTTCGCTAATCCCTCATACGCTTTATGCAAGTACGTATCGAACTTCACATTGTACACTACAGTAAATCTGTAATAAACAGCAGACCAACGTTAAATCGGCTTTTTGTTTTTTCTCTATTTTCTTTATCGTTTGCTCATCATCCATCTCTATTCCGCGCTCGTGTTATTATTTCCTTCATAAACAATATTCGAGTCTCTAATCGTTCTATGCTACCTTTTCAGAGAAAATATACCTATTTCTATCGCTCGCACTGTGTGACATTTCACACAATCTCTAAATGCTCATACGTAGGATAGTATCAAATTGTGAAGAGGAGAATATCCGAAAGATCCACAGTGGACTGTATGAGCGTCAGGATCATATAATGGAACATCGAGTTTCTGCTGTCTCAGGTGTTGTATACGAGGTAATGTACGCTAAACTTAAATCTCAGTGTTTGCCCTACTGATCCACTGCTTATGCATGCATCCCGCGTTTCGTATGAGCCTACTTTTCTCTCTTTAAAGACCTATTATCTATTCTCATATCCATATTTAAATAGGAGATCGGCTGGAGATTAAGTCTCTTGCGTCAGAGCTTAGCGTCAATAATTGATGAACACAATGAGTCAAGTCATACGACGAGTGGACAATCCCCATTCACTTACAGTAGACACAAACACAAACAACCCTTGTAATTAACTACTTTTGTAAAGTCTCAAATTTTCAAATTAATGAGAATTAATCAAAATCCATTAACCTTAAAATATTTATACCAGATGAAATCGTATAAAAACCTTTATGAGAGTATGTATACATGTTGTATATAGTACCCAGTTTGAGTGCAGTCTACCCGTGCTCTGAGCCTTTATATTTTTTTTTATCATAGACATTATTTTTTTTTTTTTTTTTTTTTGTAATATATTTCTTTTCTGTTATTTTTCCTTTAAAAATATTGTTCAATACTTAAAAATAAATATTCAGCTATGTGAATTTTAAATTCTAATGCTTACTTAGGATATATCAAGTGAAAGGAATATCGAAATCACATGATAATTAGGATATAATTAACGATTTTTTATTTGTAATTAATTAGTAATTAATCAAGTTTTCCTACTTGATCACAACTAGCATACCCTTTATGCAGCTTTTCCTTTTTAATATTTTTTTTTAATTAAATAAAATCTCTTTATTAACCTTGGTCAATGGTCAATATGATGAACAACATCAGTCAAATACGAAGGAGGGGAAAATCCCCATTCACTTACAGTAGACACAACACAACAACCCTTTTTAATTAAACTCTTTTGAAATTAAATTTTCAAATTAATGAGAATTAAATCAAATCCATTAATTAAAATTTATAATGAAATGGATAAAAACTTTATGAGTATGTTAAAAAATGTTTATAACAATTTTCTTTTTTTTTTTTTATCATAGACATTAGGACCATGTAATTATAGTGCTCTATATCATAATTAATTAGCACAATTTGTTTTTAGCGTTAGGAAAAAGGAATTTAAATCTAAATTGATTGTTGAGTTGTATAAATATTTGTTGTACAGTTATATTTAATTGTGCAATTAGCGCAATTTATTTATTATTGAAGTAAACACGGCTTTATGTTTACTAACTTGTTAAAAAGTAATGATTTGTCTATTATAAGAACGGCTTTATCCGCTGTTAGATTATTATATGTTCTTCATTTATCATTATTGTGGAACATCAATAAATTTCATTTAACGAATTTCTAATTAAATAAACATATAAAAATTTCAATAATTTTATTGATAATGCTTATGTAACTCGAGTTAGTATTTGGATAAAATAAATTTTTTATGTACATTTTAAATTAATAATGTTTTTTTTTGTTGATAAAAAAAAAGACTGAGTTCAAAATTTTATAATTAACAATTTATATTTATGACTATTGATTTTTTTCAATACAATTTCATTATGTTATTTTTATTTTCTCCTAATTATACATTGTATACATTTTTTTAATAAATAACATTGTTTATTAATCACTCTAAATAGAATTTCAATGGAATTTTTATTAAATAAAAAGAAAATATAAACAGCCGTCAAGAGGTTGTTGTGGGTTGTGACAGTGATTGCAAATCTTCTTAAGAGCCAATCTTTATTTCCTTTTTTTTTCAGATATATTTTTTGGAGTTAATTTCGTTTCTTTTTCTGTTCTTTCTATCTACAAGGCGCCTTATTTCTCTCCTTTTACCCTAGAAATTGTATTGTAATTGTATGTACACTTTGTCTACATAAAGGTCTTCTCCTTGCAACTCCCCTTCTCAGCCTCCACAACCTCACTCTCTCTCTCTGTTCCCATCTCTATCTGTATCTGGGTCTAATCGCATACATCACATAAAGAAGCAGAAAAGTTTGTTATCCCCTCTATTGACAAAACCCATACCGAAATCTCTGATTGATGAGATTTTGTTGGGTTTTGGTCTCAGTATCATTGATTCATTAAAAATGGCACAAAATCTTCTATGTGGAGAGAATGTAAATACTTGTTTTAATGATGATCTTGATTGCAATGCCACAGATGAGTTTGGGAATTCCGTTTCATGGCAAAATCATAATCACAGCCAAGAACATTGTATGGACAATGATCCTTGTAAATCTTTGATGGGTTTTGTCATCGATAACGATGATACAGTTAAGGATATGATTCGAAGGGAAAAAGAACTTTTGCCTAGAGATGATTATCTTAAGAGATTAAGAAGTGGGGATTTGGATTTGAGTGTTAGGAGGGAAGCTCTTGATTGGATTTTGAAGGTTGGTTTATTTCTTATTATTTAATTGGTAATCGAAATGGTGTGTTTAGATTTTGCTCTTTTGATCCATTGAGTTGTGCTTTAACTCTTCTGGTTTTTGATAGGATCCTCATTTCGAAAGAACAATGTGGTCTTCATTTTAACATAATTTTGAACTTCTAATTGAAATTCAAGTCTTTCCATCTGATTTCCCCTGATTCTGAATAAGGGTTACTTCTGCATTTTGACTAATCAATTTCCAAGTTGTTATTAAAAGGATTTAAATTGTTGAAAGTCTCTTTTTGAATTTCTTTTCCTTTAATTGTCACTGATTTTTCTGTACAAATGATCAACAGGCTCGAGCTCATTACAATTTTGGACCATTGAGTGTTTGCCTATCTATGAATTTCTTGGATAGATTCTTATCACTCTATGAATTGCCTGTAAGTGTCGCAAATTAGCAATCTTTCTGTTAAAATCTCACTACAGTGTGTTTTATTGCTAATCACATTGATATTTGATTCTTGCTGTTTTTTCTTTTCTTTTTGTTTTTTGTGTCTCTATTGGCATATACAGAAGGGGATAGCTTGGACTGGGCAATTGTTAGCTGTAGCTTGTTTATCAATAGCGGCAAAAATGGATGAGGCTAAAGTGCCTTTTCCTGTAGATTTACAGGTACTAATAGAATCAAATGTTTAAATTTCTTAATGACAATTTGATTTGTTGAGTTTGGGTCATGATTTTTATGTTCTTTTTAATCCATTGTCTTAATAATGTTGTTCTTTTTCGTTACTTTCTTTTTTCTGGGTAGGTAGGAGATCCCAAATTTGTGTTTGTAGCTAAAGCTGTACAAAGAATGGAGCTTTTGGTATTGACCACATTGGAATGGAGAATGCAAGCTTTAACTCCTTGCTCCTTCATAGACTATTTCCTAAGCAAGATCAATGGCAATCAACAGTCAACATCACTTATGATTAAATCATTGCAAGTGATATTGAGCACAGTTAAAGGTCTGTCGTTTTATGTAGTTTTTTAATGTACTTGGTTGTCGTTTTGGATTAATGGATCTTGACACATTTTCTGACTGGGAATTGAATGTAGGTATTGACTTCTTGGAATTCAGGCCTTCAGAGATATCTGCAGCTGTTGCAATATCAGTTTCAGGAGAAGACCAAACAGTAGACATTGAAAAGGCAGTGCGTTGTTTCAGTTTCGTCCAAATAGAAAAGGTTAAAAATTGATAAAGAAACATTTTTTGGGTTGTGGTGGCCTACTAAAAAAGAAAAACAAATGAAAGTTCAAGGACGACAAATTTGCTTTTGCATATGAAAATCTTTAAGTTTGATCTTTTTACCAATTTGATGAGTTCTTGAAATTGAGATTTTTTTTTCCCATTTTTTTTTTTTTTTTGAACTTTTTGGCAGGATAGAGTGTTGAAGTGTATTGAACTGATTAAAGACTACTCATTGAGTAGTGATAATGTGGGAAGAAGTGTCTCAGCTTCTTCAAGTGTGCCTCAGAGTCCAAATGGGGTGTTGGAAGCTGCATGCTTGAGCTATAAAAGTGATGATATAACAGTTGGGTCATGTGCAAACTCTTCACATAATGACGTTAAGAGAAGGAAAAAAACCATCAGCCCATTTCAAGTGGAGCACAAGCCATAAGATCGTCATATATTTATTTATTTATTTCTTTTGTATGTTCTTTGGACACACAACACAGGAAAGAGAGAGAGAGAGAGAGAGAGAGAGAGAGAATTTTCTCTTGGATGAATAAATAAAACAGTTTGTAAGAAAATTCAAGAGCCTCCGTTGTTAGGCAATGAGGTTAATGTGTTGTCTTTAGGGAATTAAACATTTTTTCTTTTATATTTTATTTATTTATACATGTATACACAGAGAGAAAGAGAGGAAAAGTGGAAATATATATATATATATATAATTTTTATTTTTCCCCTTTCAATTGAAATCTAAATTTGTTTTTGTTTTTTTCCTTTGTGAAACAATTAATTGCAAGTTTTCAAGTAGTTAATCCAACTCATCAACATAATTTTATACACTCAAAACGTTGTCGTTTAGCCATCTCTGGTGGACCCACAGTACTTTTTGGTTAATGAACTTGCAGTGCTTTTTGTTAAAAGAGTTGAGAGTTGAAGCAGAGTGTGACCAGTCAACATAATGTTTTTTAAGAGTTAAATTCATTGATTAAATAAGGATCTTATTTCATATGAAAAGCTGAGATCATGTCCCACTAATAATATATATATATATATATATACCAATTATTTTTTTTCCCAAGGAGTTAAACACGTGACATTTTTTTTTAATTAGTCTCCATTTACTATGTACTGAAATTAATTAATTAAATGCAAAATCATAAATTTTAAGACATAATAATCAATAATATATAAAACAATAATTATTTGACTGAATAATGATTAAATAAATAATTAGCTCAATTATAATTTTCCCACGGGATGAAATGGTGATCAAAATCTCAAATTTTTATTTGACTATATAAATAAATAGAATTACAAAAATAAATAAAATTAACTAATAGAATATTTTATTTTGTAACTTTATTCTAGTATATTTTTTAAAATAGTTTAACATTATAATTACAATTTATGAAATGTTATCTACATTTGTCAAATTAAATTTGAATATTTTAAATTTTAAAATTACTTATATATAAATCAATTATATAAAAATTAAAAATATTTTAATAAAAATTTTTCTTTTTCGTTATTGTTTCCACTACTTCTTCAATTGAAATCTAAATTTGTTTATGAGTTTTTCTTTACGCTTTTGTTGAAACAGATTATATCTTGTCAAGTTTTCGAGTGCACGTTAGTGACGTCGACATTTCCACTCATCACAGTAGTTCTATTATATTATACACTACCATACGTTCGTCTCCTAGCGTAGACCATCATCTGCGGTGACCCACCGGCAACAGCAGCTTGTTAGGGTTAATGAACGCTTGGCAGATGCTTTTATTTGCTAACAAGAGATTGAGATAAGTTGAAGCAGCAAGCTGTGGACCCAGTCCAATTATTCCAGTTTTCTAAGAGTTAAATTTCTATTGATTATATGATGTTGTATTTATTTTATGACTGAGGTAGCTGAGAATCAAAATGTCCACTAATAATATATCTATACTATAGCTAACCATAATACCTACCCCCGCCAATTTATTTTTTTTCCCAAGGAGTTTTAAAACACGCTGACAATTTTTTTTTTTAAATTAAGTCTTCCTATTGTGTACTATGTACACTAGTACCGAAATTAATACTAAACAACGCCAGAGAGAGTCATAAATTCTTTAAGAACACATATTCAATAAATATTATAAAACATAATTATTTGACTGAATAATGATTAAATTAAATAATTACCGTCAATTATAATTTTCCACGGGATGGAAAATGGTGATCAAGAATCTCAAATTTTATTTGACTATCATAAAATATAATAAGAAATTACAAAAAATAATAAAAATTAACTAATAGAATATTTAATTTTGTAAACTTTATTCAGTATATTTTTTAAAATATGTTTAAACATTATACAACTTATATCATATTTATGAAAGTTACTACATTTTTGCATTATTTAATTATATTGAATATTTTAAATTATTAATACTGTATCTATATTGGTTCACTTAATTCAATTAGTATAATAATTTTATAATATTCATTCTTCTATTAAACTAAGAGAAGGGAGATATAAAATTGGTACAACCACACTAAATATTTTATTATAATTATTTTATTTATATCCTTGTTCATAATAGTCATGCTCTCTCTTTTGTTTAATTGTCATTTATAGTCGTAACTGTATGTTTCCCTGCCATGATCCATTATAAATATTTCAATAAAAATTGAGATATAAAATTGTAAAAAACTAAATATTTATTATTAATATTTATTTATACACTTGTCATTTCATCTCCCTTTGTTAATTGTCATTTAAGTCGTAACTGTATTTTCCCTCGATTCCCATTAAAATATTTTTATTATTATAATTATTGATTGTTATTTATTATTTCTATCATGATGTTGTCATCATTTAAAATAAAATAAAAATTTAACATCATAAATTTGAATTTTACAAGTTTTAAAATTATTTGTTTACAAATAAGTTACATGAATATTAGAAAAGAATTTTAATAAAAAGTAAAATACTAAAATTAAATATTAAATATTAAAAATTAATATAAAATTATGCATAGCACAAGCATATGGCTAGTATTGTTTATATGTCATTTGACAACTTATTTTCTTATTATGCTCTTATTTAATTTGCAACTTTATTAAAAAAAATATATTAGTATTACTATACTATTAAACATAAATTGGAAAAACAAAAGTAGGATATTAAGGGAAAATTTTATGATTTAACTATATTAATTATATTTTCTTAATCTGCTTGAAAACTAATCAATGTCTATTTTTATGGACTGATAGTAATATTTAAAACTAAAAAAGTTTAAAATTTAAAATTTTATATTTTTATATTTGACATAAATATTTTTATTAAGAAGGGACATAAATAAAAATTTATTTTAGAAAATTTGATATGATTAAATTCAATTCAATTATGTTATTACAAATAAATAAATAAATAAATAAATATATATATATGTATATAATTCAGCTATACAAATTGAAAAATGATTAAACCTTATGTAAATCTTTACCATAATTCAAAATGAGATTAAAATTGCATCATGTGTTTTTTTCGCCCATTTGTAAATTGAGGTTCCATTTTCTCCAATAATTTTTGTTTATAGTTCCAAATAATTGAACTTCAATGTTAAATATAATACTTTATTTTCAAGGATTGAATATCATTAATTTAAATTATTAGGTTTTAGGTCATTGTTTAATTATAAATTTCCATTCTAGATGATTTGTAAAAAAAATTAAAATAAAATCTATAAAGAGCGATTCAAATGGTAAGTAATGCCTGAATTCAGTATAAAATTATGTATTCAATCTGCGAAATGTATTTATGGAATGGACAATTACAAATCTTAAAATGAAAATACTAATTGATGGATTGAAATTAAATAGATAAGACAAAAACTCATTCCAATTAATACCATCTAGGGTTTCATTCTTTCTTCGATTTCTTTTTATTTTTTTAAATAATAAAAGGAACATAATTTCTTTTATTTTTTATAAGGGAATACAAATTAGGGAAAACAGTTTAGAAGGAAGAAATTGAACCAACAAAAGAAGCAAAGAAGGAAGTGCATGAATATTTGGATTGCAATGTAGCTATATACAGAAGAATACAACACACCACATTTATTTGAGAGAGACATTTACTGGAAAATTCATTAATAGTTTTAAAAATTTTAAATTTATATCTGATGAGAGATATTGAAAGTAGGACTGCTTTTAGTTTATAAATCTCAAAATTATTTTCGCAATTTGATTTCCTATAATATAAAATTCCTAAATTTTACATGATTTATTATTTTTTACTTTATGAAATTCAGCAGATTAAATTATTATTTTCATTTATTTTATTTTTTGCTCCAGGTTTTCTACTTAAAAAATATATATTCGTATACATTAACATATAGTTTTATCACATAATTATTTATTTATTAATCATCACATATCAACCAATATATTTATCAAGAATCATCTTTATTGTCATATAGTTAAAATAGATGGAATAAAGAAACAATAAATATAACAAGAAAAAGAGTATTATTTAGTAGTGAAACCAATCCGTATCAATAATGCTTTTATTATTTTTTTTTTAAACAAACCCTTAATTACAAATTTAGTAGTGAAATAATGATTGGTATTATTTAGTTTTGTTTTCCTTTTTCTTTTACTTGATGGATTTTATTTGATTATAGTTGATAATAACATTAATTTATCTTTGTTTGTCACAAAAACAATTTAATAAAAATATGTGAAATTTTGATCGCAGGGCCCACATAGGGGCGACTCTTCTAGTGTGGAAATTCCTATACCCAAAGCTCAAACTCGAGACCTTTGGTTAAGGGAAAAGGAGTGTAAACCACTACGGTTTTAGTGATTAACAAAAGTTGATAAATTTTTTTTGTTCAACCACTATTATTATTATTATTATTATTATTCGGTTTTTAGTGATTAACAAAGTTGATTAAATTATTTTTTGTTCAACCATATTATTATTATTATTAATTTTTATTATTATTATTATTATTATTATTATTATTAGGATTTCATTAAAAAAATTCAATCAATACAAATAATACAAGGACATGATTTGACTAAATATAAAATAAAAACAATTATAACTAAAATAATTATTATTCGCTGATCCAATAAGTAATCCTAACAGAAGTTGGAAAGAAGAAAACTTAGATAAATTTGTTTTATATTGTGGTGCTTCTTAATATTATTAAGGAACTCACTCTTGGAAAACAACTTGAAAAAAAAGGATTGAAAATCAAGAAAACAACTTGAAGAAATAAAGAAGAGCTTTTATATATTTGTATTTTCTTAATTTTGTAAAACTTGTGGGACGTTGCAAGTATTAAACTTGTAATGTCTTTTTAGTTAGCTTGTCAAAATTAGATTTTAGGTTTCAAAAATTAGCCTTCAAAACTGGAGAGGTTACAAGTGAGTGTTAAAACTTTGGTTATTATATATAATTAACCAAATTTATTTTTAAGCTTAAAATTACTAATTTGACTTATAATAACTGAATCTAAATCAAACCGATAAAATTCGATTTGAATCAATTTTTATACGATTCAATTCTGGATTTAACTATTATAAAAATATATTCAGATATATAGAAATTAAGCTAATTAAGAAGAAGATGATTTTTTTTTTTTTTTTTAAGAAGAAGATGATTTTTTTTTTTTTTTTTTCTGTTGGTTGTTGTTTTTCTAGGTTTGCTTTTGTTATTTACGGATGGGGCTAAACCGAAGAGGGACAGTACAATCAATAAATTCTGTTTTTTTTGATTTATATAAAACATAAATAACTATTATTAACCGTACTAATAATATGGAGGAAAGGTATATATATAATTTTTTTTTTTTTTTTCTGTTGTTGGTTGTTTTTCTAGGTTTGCTTTGTTCATTACGGAGGGGCTAAACCGAAGAGGGACATACAATCATAAAATTCTGTTTTGATTTAATAAAAAAATAAAATAAATAAATTATTACCGTACTAATAATAATGAGAAAGGTATAATTATAACTTTTTTAAAAAATTATTATTTTAATATATTTAAATATAGCCGAGTAGTTAAATCCAAAGTCCACCGAACCCGAAAAAAGAAGAAAAAAATCACTATCCGAATCTAAAAAAAGGTCCGAAATCACTATTTGAAGTCGTTTATTAAGTGTATAAAACTGCTAAAATCAGGTGGGATCAATATCCAAATCCAATGGATGGGTAAAATTTCCATCCTCCCATCAATCATTTCTTGCAATATAAGATATTAGAGCTATTAAATAAATAAAAAAAGACACTAAAGGAAATTTATATTATATTATATAGACTTTTTGGCATTTTGGCAGGATGAAAAATAAATATTATTTTGTACAAAAAGAAGTAAAAAGATGGATCAATAAGGTACAAAAGCTTAGAAAGTAGCTACGTGCTTAAGTCTTTACTCTTTCCTCAGTCTGACTGTAATTTCAACAAAAAGTACACAGTTAAGTACAAAAAAAGCACAAATTAAAAAAAAAAAAAGTACAAATAAAAAAAAAATAAAAAGCAATTATATCCAATGCTGACCAGTACTACAGTCTACAGATATGAAAAGCATATGTCAACATGGAATTTTTTATAAATAAAATAAACCCATTATTAAATTAATTAATTAAATATCCCCATAGCTTACACCAATATATGCATGGCATATGAGACGAAACAACAGTGGCATCTACAGTCCACACGTGTCTTGATAAATGTAACTGAATAATAATTTAAGTATAAGGAAAGAAAAACAAAATGGAGCACCATTTTTATCCAGTGTGGCATTTTTTATACAATGAGATATTAGATTGACTTTGACCTATTTTCAAAAAAAAAAAAAGAGTTGACTTAGACCCTATTACTAGAAATCAAAACTAAAATCAGAATCGAATCCCCAATATTTTTGTAAAAGTTCCTTGAATTTTGATTTTGGTGAGATTTCAATCAAATTCAAATTCGCCATTTCTTAGTGGAAGTTTTTTTCTATTTTTTTCAAATTGATTTAAACTAAATTGAAATCCGCGGTTAGACTTTAATTTTTAAAAAGACTGTCCTAATTCTTAGGACCAAAGCACCAAAATCGAAACTAGTTAAATTGATTTCAATTTCATCACTCCATTGTTTTTTGTTGTTTTGTCATCAGTTAGTGTTTACAAGGAAGGTATAACACTCTCTAGTAGGCAGTAATGCTATTTAAGCATACTAACACATTACACTTTTTAGATACAAATTAAAGCCCAATAAGGGCAATCCAACCCATAAAGGTCAAAATACAATTACAAATTACAAACTGCTTATTGGTGAGTTGGGGTCAGCAAATGGTCAGTTTGGTTAAAATTGAATCAAACCGAGATAAAAAATAAAAATCAAAGTTTTTTTATCAATAGACTAAATCAAAATTGCTTTCTGAATTGAATTGATTCAAACTAGTTGGTTCGATTAATTTTGATTAGTTTTGCCCTTTTCGTTTGATTTTAAACCCGACCAATAGATTTTTATCAAATAGACTCAAACCAAATATGAAGTCAGTTCAAATCTAGTAAACAAATAACCGAACCGAAATGAGTGGGTTTGATTTGGTCATTAGGTTTGCACAGCCCTATTGGTGAGGATAGGAATTGAACCCATAGTTTTGGACCAATTTAATTCTGAAATATTAATTGAACTATATTTTTCAATTATTTTTACATTCCACAGAAAATTATACTATATTTTTCATAATTAAACATGCTTAGAGCACATCTCATCTCCCTAGGCGTAAATATGTTAATCGTCCTTTCTCTTCTGTGCTGGATTTCTGTCTTTTGATGTAAATGTGTAACTAACTTGTTGCTTGCTTGTGGGGACCTGAAAACCAATAGTCACTGCCCCTGCAACTGCAGCAGACTGGCTTTTCGTTGGTGGAGGTTTTAAGGCTCGATCAGATTTCTAACATGCTCTGTTTCTCATGCACACACATACAGTAGAATGATATGTAGGAGAAAATGAGTATGAGTAGCACTAGACCAGCCCAGGACCCAAGAACAAGAGAACTTTTCTTGTGCTTCTCTGTCCATTGCCAGATCAACAGTTAAAAATGTAATTTCGTACTCTTTAGTGTTATTAATTAATGAGAAGGGAGTAGTAATACTGATACATGTTTTTCCATTAAAGAGCTGACATCTAATTCTGAACCTATACAATAGAAAAATTGTTGTGTCGTGTTTCATTTTTTAGCTATTTAAAGAAATATAGTTAATTTTTACCAAAAAAAAAAAAAAAAAAAAAAATTGTGTGATCCAATTCTTAATTTTGATTAACATAAAAACTAAGTCAAGCCACCGTTTGTATTATAATTTTTTAACCAATGATGGCCCATCGTCAGATTTGGCAACACCTGAGGGCAGTTCATATCAATCTATCAATCTATCATATCAGTTCATATCAATCAAATACTATTGTCTGTATCTTCCCTTTCTTCGTTTTCGTAACTTGTTTTAATTTTTCTATTAAGTAGAAAAAGCTAGAACAAAAAGGTTTGGATTTTATAGAAAAGATATTTTAAATAAAATTCAGATACCCAATACAAATTTGGGTTCCTCTGATTCTCAAGTCCACAACCAAAATCCTCAAATTCCTTTTCCATTCTAAACCCATCAGTATTGCAAGGGAAAAGACAACCACTCAATACTAGCGATATCTCAGAATTTGCTATCTCCTCTCAAGCTTTACATTCCTTTTTAATTTCCAGACTCATCTTATCGTCCCCCCCTTCAAGTCCGACTCAGCCCGTCTCAATCTCTCCAAAATAGGGGAGAGATATCATCCATGGTAGTTGAAGCTAGAGGGTTCTGTTTAGTAGCAGAGAACTAGATTTGATAATTGGTAGTGGTTTTGATTTTAGAGAAAGTAGTATGGAGGAGATGGAGAAACATAAGGAGAGCAACTTGGGAAGTTACTTATATTCTTCCTACTTATTTTTTTTTATTTTGTTTTTATTTTTAACAGTAAATTTGAATTGTAATGAACGGAAGAACATATAAGATGGAATGATAAATTGGGAACTTCAAAACTATTCATTAATACTAAAAGGACGTAAGTGGTAATTTAACTATAATTTAGTAATGAATAAGTATTTAACTCTTAATTTTAACATGACTCAATTAAGGAAAGTTACTTTTTGATTTGCTTCGTATCAAATCCACTAATGCTATTTAGCATTTGATATTATTGTATAAAATATCAATCAACAAATATTTTTCATTTATGTAGGAAAATTGTTTCATAATTTTCATAATTTGGAATAAGACTTGAGATTTGAAAATTTTTAAAATAATTTTCCTTTTAAATACATTTTTATTTTAATAATTGATTTAAATATTAATTTTAATTGGATAATAATTTACACTATTTAGTTAGTAGAATTCTACATTAGTACATAGTGTCTAATTAAGGATTCTACTAGGTGCTATGAAACCCATTATTCAATTAAAATTAATATTTTAGTTAATTATTAAAATAACAAAACAATTTTAAGAAAAAAAAATAATTTTTAAAAACAAACTACAGGACCCTATATGTCTTTAAAAAAAGGCCTGTTCAATAAAAGTTTGAAACCAGGTAGTAGTTAGTTGTACTTTCTGCTTTTAATATCATTAAAGTACCTGGCTTGACTGATCACATCTGCCGACTGCCGGTGACCTTCGCTGGGAGTCAAACTTGCAGTTACTTTTATTAGCAGCTTACGGTATCTCCTGCATCATACATTCTGTTCTCTGTCCAAACAAAAATGACAAATTTCTAGGAGAGATTCTTAAAATTAAATAGGAATTCGAGCTAGTTTACATAAACTCAGTCTAGTAATGTAATGAACTGCAAAAATTTTGATGTATGAATAAATACAGTTACAAGCAAATTATACAATGGATCAGAGTCGAGCACGAATCGCTCGGGTAATTTCCTATACCATCTTATTACAATGGTGCCTAGGTGATTCAGAAAACTGGCACATGAAATACTACTATACACTAAATAATTTATCTCATTTTGAGGAAAATTAATCCTCTATTATTTGAACAGCCTAAAATGAGAAGTTTCTAGCTGATTGATGTCCACTTAAGCTGGCATTCTGTGACTGAATAAAAATTTAGTTCTTTTGCATAAATTAGAAGGTTTTGGTAATTATATGAAGTCAGGTTGGCCTGTTGAAGTCAAGCAACGATGCCACATGCGGCTGTTAGGATCTACTGCCCTAGGATAAGAAATAACTTCAGGAATGGGAAAGTAGACGTAGTGAGTGTTGCATATGCCTACTGTAATTCCGCTGTAGCCAGCAAATGCACCATGGACCTGCCGAAACGATAAATTTAGATTAAAACTCCATACAAAAATAAAGTAACCTGCTAATAAGTGGATGATGTACAGTTTTTGAACTTACATGAGTTTGTTTGGTTCTGAAAATTTGTAACCATAAAGAGAATTAAATCAAAAGGAATTTCATTTTATTTAGTTCAGTTTTGCTTCTTAGTTCGACCGATTTCCTGTGTCTTTTGAGAGAAAATTACATTTTGTCTCAATGAAACCAAACTAACGATAAATTTTGAAAGTAAACATATTCCATTAGCTAGGCAAAATAATAATAATAATAATAATAATAATAACTCTCATCCAGCCCTACCCAACTACTTTTAACAATTGATCTAATTTCGTTGATTCTCCAAAAAAACAAAACCATAACTGGACCAAGCCAACCTACACAGTGAACTAATTAATGCAGATTTTGGTTCTTCAAGAACCAATGTTAATGTTGAATCTACCAATATATATGGCTGGCAGCTTGACCTAGCTCAGTCATCAGCTGGAAAGCCAGGTTGTCCTACCAAGATTAACCCTCTCCAACCCCACCCCCCAATTCCCAACTCTAGTAAGCCAAGAAGGAAACTTCTGAAGCATTTGGAATCTTTGGGCCAAGCTATCGATATAAGCTGGAATAACTAGCTACTCAGGCATACAGGGAGATATTATTTCCTTGCTGAAGTAGACTTCCAGAAACTTTATTACAAATAAAAGAAATTTTGAAAATGATAAATAAACTACAAAATCAAACCAGTTGTACTGTTACTTATTTAACCAGTCCAACATGCCAGTCTTTTCCAGATTCCGAAACTAAATCATAAAACCTAATAATTGTATGATTATGAAAAAAAAAATGTGACTAGCACGTTGTTATAATATCTAAAATATCAAATCTAGAGTTAACAAATCCAATTTCATCCATTAGCTAACGCTGTATGTAGTAACATACAAGATATGAAATAGCTTATGGTATCTTAAGTACTAACATGAGAAGCTATATGGCAGTTGCTTTCAAGTGTCCCAAATGTCTCTAAACAATTGAATCCCTTTGTTTCTATTCTGCTCTCTTCATAGTTAAATCCACACTTACGTCAAGAAGAAGCAGAACTTTTGAGACAATTTCCCTATATTTGGTTATAGGTCTACCTCTGCCTTGATTAACACCCTTTACCATTGATATATTAGACTTACAAAGGGGAGCACATGAGAGTCTACATAGGATATAACTAAACCATCTCAGATATCCTTCTCTCATTTTATCCTCGACTTGCGCTACTTGCACCCTTTAGCAGGCATGGTCATTTCTACATCTTGTCCAATCTTGTGTAATCACATATCTATTATAATATCTGCATTTTTTCAATATTCATCTTGGGATATGATGGGTATTTGAGGCCCAACATTCTCTCTTGTTTGACAATGCAAGTCTCACTGTCATTCTAAATAACTTGCCTTTCACTTTGTTAGATATCTTCCTATAGCACAGTTGTATTTCTCCTCCATTTGCATCCATCTTATTTTAATTCTATGGATTATATCTTCATCTACCATGCACCCTTCTTAAATATAGAGTCTAGATACCTGAATTGATTGTACTCAGACACCGTAATACCGTCTAATCTGACCTCACATCCATTTTATGGCCAAACTAGCAGTGCATGTATTCTGTCTTACCACTCAACCTGAAACCCTTGGTTAACTCGGAAGAGAATTTGGTTTACTCTCTCATTAGATGATTCCAATGAGAGTAAATCAAAGTTGGAATCATCAATTAAGACAATATTATCTGCCAATAACAAGCATCATAGGACATCTTCTTGTGTACTACTGGTAAGCTCATCCATAACTAGGTTAAACAAGATTTAGACTATCTAACCTATTAAGCCATCTAGAAGTTTAGTATTCGAATTTAGCGAAGAAAGGCATTGAGCATGTAAATACATGGCAGGCTGAGCAATCTGCCAACTAGTGCTTCTACAGTAGGTAGATCACAAGTGTTTATTGAGTTTTAAAGTTTAGATTTGGAAAGGGACTAGGGTGATTAGAGTGAGAATAGAAGAGAATTTGATTGCTGTGAGAGTGCTACAAACAGTAACTTAGGCAATGGAATGCAGCACTTGAAAGAAGGAAAGAAGGAAGAAGAAGAAAAAAATAGAGAGATGACTGAACTCTCATCATTTATGCAAAAGCCTTTGCTTGTTCCACAAGGATCATAGCATGGGAAATTTCCTAAATAATCACTGAATAGGAAAGTGAATAACTTTCTAAATGAGAAGGTTCCTACTGAATAAAAAAATTCCTAAATTCTAACAACTCTAATTTCCTAATAGGAAGTTACATGGTACCTGAAATAAAATTGGAAAAAAGAAATCTCAAACAAGATGCCAGCCAAGCAGAGTAATAACCCCTTACAAGTTCAGTTCACAGTTTTATTATTCAGAAAATTATATCAGATAAAATGCCCTACAATCTATAAATCAATTAAACCTTAGTCCCAAACCTATTTGTGGCTCGTTATATGTATCAGGAAATTTTCAAAATATAAACAGATACCAGCTAGTTCAAGAAAAAAATTGTAGTGTTGTTGCTCCTATACTTGCAAATATCTTTCTTCAGTTATCCTTAATCTATCATGAACTATTGCTTCTGTCACTAACATTCAGGTCGATTATTGCTAAGTTTCCAGCATAAAAATCTTTACTAGTAAAATTACTAACCAAGCACTGAAATATCTGCTCAGTTGTTAAAACTTTAAAGTACACATTTACATTAGTAATTGGAGAAAGAGGAAGGGACACTCACAGCATTTTGTCCAAGAACAGTACATAAGATTCCATCTGATGCATTTGCACGGCATGCGCGGATCATGTATGTTGGATCAATGTACTTCACATCAGCGTGGACACCAATCTCCTTAAAATATTTTTTTGTCTGACAGAAATAATATTGGATTCTTGTCATAACATATTGAACAAAAATAAATTTCGAAATGCAGATAATCAAGATTTGTGAGTGAAAGTATGTGCAAATTATAAAGCTATTTATTAATCAATTAAGTTGACTTGCATTTCTCTAGCAAGGATAGCTTACGTACACCTGCATTATCCATAGCAAATCCCCCCACCAAATATGTATATATATCCTTCCCTCAACCATCCTCCTTCCCTCTTCCCTTCACTCATACCAAAAGAAGGGGTAAAGAGAAGTAGTTCACAAAGCCCAATAAACACCTATTACTACTCTTAGATTGCACAACTACCACACAGAAACATCTGTAGACATTGGAGTCTGTTTTCTCAACAGAAGTTAGGCAATAGCACATGTAACATAATGTAAAAATTATCAAAGAATATAAAAAGATTCACTGGTCCAATTCTTCCTCTATTTGGCGACGCAAGTTTCCTGTGATTCCTATGAGAAGTACACATGCCATTTGAATCATATAGTTTTGATTACTAATCATTATCTGATACATGAATTACAGTCGCATGATAAAATAGATTGGAATAATTCATTGGATAAATGATTTGAAGCACGACGGTTCAAAATCCTTGGTTTCTGAACAGTCCTACCAACAAGTTAAAATAACTAATAAATAGCTGTTTTAATTAATAAAATAGCTAATAAATTAGAAGATGAAGTTGTGCAGGTTGGATTTTGAACAGTCCAAGTTTGAAGGATAAACCCAAAGAGATCATGAGATGTTTATGGAGGCAACATAAGCCTGGCTCAGTGGCCTGCGTCAATCTTGTGAAAATATATGCTGCTTTCTTTAAACACAAGTGCAAAAATAATAATTTATGCAAGAGCATTAATACAGCAACTGTAAGACATGGATTAAATTACATAGTATGTAATGAATGACCAAAATAGCATAATATAACATGCATCTCAATTGATGTGATTAATGGATCAGGATGATATTTGAAGTTATACATGGTTGATTGGAAAATGGCAGGTTAAAGATGTTAATGCCTTCATGGGAACCAAAAGACGATTTGATGTTTAATCCAGTCAACTACATGTTCTACTAGCCAAATTTTATTTATTTTTATTATACATATATATTTTTGAACTGGTACTAGGCATGTTAACCTGATTGTCACAAACCATTCACAAATAAACAATCACTAACCTCTTGTTGAATGTGTACCCCAATATCTCCAAGCACAATGTTTCCAGATGCGTCAGTAGCATTAGTTTTCCGAAGAAAACTCTGCATCAAAAAGCAACACCATTATGCATTTCACACTGTAACGTGTTACTTTTTTCTCTATAAAGTCATAAGCTTACTCCCTTCCCCACATAAAAGGCTCAGAAACAATATCCATTAAAGGAGGAAATTGCTCAGGCTGAAAATCCTTTTTGATGAATTTTGTGGTTCAGAAAAGGAGACAATATTTTATTTGTAGCCATACATTTTAATGGAATGGCTTAGCCATAAAGCAAAATACTCTTGTTTGAAGAAATTGAATTTAAAATTAGCCCACACATACAATGAGAAGATGGTGCATAATCAATGAGTGGAAGTATTTATTATTCTCATATAAAGGGGAACAGGTGATACTGGAATAGAAGGGTAAAACTAAAATTTCGAAGAAAGATGAAGAATTTGAAACTTGTACAAGAAACTGTCAATTTGGGGATAAGTGATTAATAGAAAAAAAAAAGAATAAAATAAAGCATGAAAAAATAAAGCGTATAACTCCTTAGCCAATATGGTGCTTTAGTAGAAACATGGAGACTAGTGTTCTGGTGCATTGACAACATGGTTTTTATGCATTTTAAAAATGGCTACTCTGCAATGGGAATGCTCTTTTAGTGAAAACCTGCTTGCTAACTCAGATGCATTCACTTGAACCAAGATGGTACCCCCTCCCTCAATCTCTACATCATGCTTTGATATCCATATTATTTAATAGTTACATATATTTATTCAAAAATCATAACTGACAATCCATCACTAATAACCCATTGCGTTTTCTTCTGTTATTAATTTTCAGCAAAGCCAAACAATTTAACATAAAATATAATGGATTTGTTTTAGCTCATCCTGAAATATACATCTAAACCACCGTGCAAGTAGTTTTTCTCTGTACTTAAATTAAGGTTTTCCACTCTATACTGCTATAATCTAATTGATTGAATATCACTTTGTGGAATGATCATTGCAACATACGCAGTTGCATTTATTTACAACAATAACAACAACAATCAAACCTTAATCTCAAACTATTGAGGATGTAAACAAGTTGATACCCTCTGCCGTCTCTCTCTCTCTCTCTCAAACCTAAAAACTCCTTTTTTTTGCAAGGGCAGCCACCGGTGGTCACCCCTTTTTCTTCTTCTTCTTCTTTTTTTTTTTTTTTTTTTTTTATAATCCTCAGATTTGTAATTTTTTTATATATATCTAAGTTAGTATTGCCCATATATTAGGACTATGGTTGCCCATATCTTAGGATTTTGTTCTCAGATATAGTTTTTTAATAGTTTCTGAGTTTATTATTGTCACCATTATGGTGATTTTGTTTATGGTATTTTGTTATTTGGATAGTTATATAGAAAGAAGTACAAATCTCCTCTCTGATAGAAGAAAGAAATATGAAGGTAATCAAATCGGACTTGTAGAGAAATCATGGAGTCAAACAATGGCTACGAATAGCCACAAAGTGGAACGAACTATTGTCTATGACACATATATTATGCTCTATCAACTAATCAAATACTTCAAATCAAGATTTGAGTTTTTTTATTCTTTGTATAGGTGGTTTATCATTAGACTTTCTTTACAAAAATATAGAAACATGTTGATCTGTATTTCATATCTGTATACTTTTTCCTCTCAATGAAATTTTCAGTTTAATTTCTTCTCAAAGAAAAAAAAAGTTGGGGATGCAGTTGCACTTGTTTGCTGTGTATATACATATATATTTCACACTCACATAAGAATTTATTATCTAAATTATGTTATTTTTATGTACGTTGCACGTCACTTGATTGAATTTAGCAAATACTAATAACTATTTCAAAGAAAATTTAATGTAGTAAAACATTGAGCAATAACATGTAAATGGCATCATGAACACATGATGAACGATTAGTCTAAGAAAAAGAATAAAATAGTTTTAAAAAAAAAAAAGTCAGTGCAGTGCACCTGTCCAGCTCCCTCTGCTACACAGACCACAGCTGATCCCTTTGTCTCAAGTAGGTATTTCAAATGCCTCAGAACACCATGAGGCCCATGCAAATGAAAAGGTACCTTTAAAAATGTATATATTGATTAATAAATACAGGCCCAAAGCTCTGGGTATGAAATTGCTATCAGCAATGATTACCTCTGGAATCAAACATATGTCGATTTGCCCACTAGCTAGGGCTGCATGCATGGCTATGAATCCACTGCTACGACCCATCAATTTCACAACTCCAATACCATGATAAGCACTATGTGCCTATGAGAAAGTAGAGGGAAAAAATATCAGTTAAACATATATGTCTGAATACCAGGAAAGAAACAATAGAATCACATAAGTTTAACAAATTTGATGTTACAAGCCCTCTATGACGAAAGTAATAAAATAAAAAAGTTTGTACCTCAATATATGCAGAATTTATAGCCCGTTGTGCCTCTTCAACAGCAGTGTCAAAACCAAAGGTTTTGTCCATCATCAAAATATCATTGTCTATGGTCTTTGGAACACCAACTACAGCCACTTTCAACCTTCTTTTACGGCACTAAAATCAAAGTTCAGTGGAGATAATACTCAGCAAAGATCAGAGAAGCTATAGATCAAAGACTTAAAAAGATTCCTAATAACATATGGAATAACTGGAATATCTCTTTGTATTAATTAATAACTATTATGATTGAAAACACGTTTCATAACAAATTGGAAATGAAGAAAAATGTGTTTGTTAAAAAACAAGATTAAAAGCGTCATTGTGGTGCAACTTCATCCCTATGGTTCTATCAAGCAAAAATTTTGAAGCAGAAGGTCCACAACTCCAAAGGAGGAAAAGAAAACTTGAGAACTAATAAATATAGACTTTCATTGGAAAATGAAAATGATTAAGATTAAAACAATAAACTTAAAATTACTCAATTTCCAATTTTGTCTTCTAATACTTTCAATTTTATTGCTGTGATAAACATTTACATTGTTAGTGATTCTCACTAATTTAAAAGGAGTGGAGCAATGTACATGTGGAATCTACATATCAATAACAGATTTATGCTCTTCTTTTTTTATTTATTGATAATGCTATAATACAAACTAATATTGCTATACTAAAAAGTTAAAATTTTAAAATTTATATATATATATATATAGATTTTACAATCATCACAAAAAAAATCATATTTACAGTTTATTAGAAAGAAAAATAAGGATGTAATCATCAAAATTGCAAAGAAATTAAAAAACAAAAGGCATCTTTAGCCAATTGAAATTGCTATGCAGGTTCAATGTATTTTCTGGACTTTCTCGTTAAATTGGCTAGCTAAGTTTGATATAATGCAGTAAATTAATATGAAGTTAAAGGCTCTATAACCTCATTGTGTATTGCATTAGCTCCAGCATGTGTACCGTTCCCACCCAACACAAAAAGCATGTTGATTCCCCTCTCCTGTGTCATCATGTAAATGATACCAGAACATTAAATGCTTAACACCAAATATTATTTTTACACCGGCAATTAGATAAAACTGAAGCACTGATTCAGCACCTCCATACTGTCAACCATGTCACTAACACTGGGTGATCCACGTGAAACTCCTAACAAGCTTCCACCCGAAAGATGAACATTTTGAACTACTTTCCTCGATAGCTGATGATAACAACAGTGAAGTCTAATTAGATAGCTGGTAACTTTAAATTTAAATGTTTAAAAGAGAAGAAGATATGTTTTTGTCATTTATCTTAATAGCATAATAACAAAATATTTGTATATATTAATTGATCCCTTGACAAACCATTACCAGTAAAGAGATAGGAATTTACCGGCATTTCACTCAAGTCATTGTCTGAAAATCCACGATAACCAAAAGGAATTCCCACTATCTTTTTGACACCATATATCTCAAGAGTAATTACAATCTGCCAAAGTTCTAAAAGATAAGCAACATATAATAAAAGGAAAGCTCAAACATATGATGCACCATATGATTTCCAAATGTTAGTAGAAGAAATTTTTGATATATGTCTAAAAGAAGAACAATGTAACTTTATGGTATTTCAAAATTCTGGAACCAGGGACTATAAATTATTGCAATTTATCAAGTGAATACAGGTGTCATGTAGATGAAGACAACAAGCAGATTGGGTTTAAATGATCCTGACCTGTCTTATGACATCATGAACCCTGTCAAGTTTTCAGTACCATATCCATTGCAAAATATGATAAAGTTTAGAATGTAAATTAATCTTTTTTCCCGAGGTCCAGCACAATGAACCCTGTCAAGTTTTCAGTACCATATCCATTGCAAAATATGATAAAGTTTAGAATGTAAATTAATCTTTTTTCCCGAGGTCCAGCACAATGAACCCTGTCAAGTTTTCAGTACCATATCCATTGCAAAATATGATAAAGTTTAGAATGTAAATTAATCTTTTTTCCCGAGGTCCAGCACAATGAACCCTGTCAAGTTTTCAGTACCATATCCATTGCAAAATATGACAAAGTTTAGAATGTAAATTAATCTTTTATAGACCATAAAATGCCATCTTATATCAGCTGGAAAAGTAAGAGCCAAGTATAATAGTGCACACATATCTTATCACGTTTTCCCATTTCTAATTCTAAAGATGCGTAGATAATTGAAGTGATATAATTTTCTCAGAAGTTAAATGCTGCATATACTCCACATTTTGTTGTAAATATCTGACCTTGCAGCATTTTACTATCCCTGAATCATTGATTACTCACTCAAAAAATCACATAAAAGTGGAATGTCTTCTCCATTTTACCTTTTACATTAACATTTTCAGAAGGTAAACTCTCACAATGGATAATGTACATGGTTGCCTGTAATCTGAAGACATAATTCTCATTTCTCTTTTAATACACACACAAACATTCTGAGCCATTTTAAGAAATCTTCAGGACAACTTGGAGTTTAATAGTCAAATTAGTATCTTTGCAATTGATGAAACAAAAGTAAGCATTGTAACACTGGTAGATTATACTTTATTTGGAGAGTCCCATCAGTTATTCAATTTTTGTAGCTTTTGAACCATATCTGTTTTTGGTTCTCTGAGAAAAGAATTTAACTAGCATGTCCTACATTGTGAAAACCAATATACAAATGGTAAACGTAATAGCATTTGCTGCCAACAAATGCATGCATTATCTAGTTAAAAATTTACATAGAGTTGAGAGGCATAAGTACCATTGTTCTACCCAACTACAACCAGGATCGATGCACTCAGCTCCAGCAGATGATGGAGATGAGAACTTTATAACCTGAAATAAAATTAAAGAGAAAAAAAATAAGGAAAGCAAATCCTAACTGGCTTAAAGATGAATTAATTGTCCAAGTACATATAATTCAAAACTATAGGCTTCATTTGTTATAATTAAGCACAAATTTTGCGGGCATGAGTTCTCATGCTAAACTAAATTGAATACGGTTCGTGCCTCAAACTGATTTTGATATAATTTCTTATGCTACGGAATTCAATTTATTTCGTTTTCATAGAATGTTCAGTCCAGAAGAAAATTCTAAAGTTCCAATGCTTGACCATGGAAGAACTGAAATGACCAATAGATGGAAGTCCACACAAACACCATAGTAGAGATTGTAAGTAAACAAAATTGCCCTGAAGAGAGAAAATTTTGATGCTTAGCTACTATAATTAGCAACTCTAGAGAGTATGCTATGCATAACTGTCGGCTACCAATCTGTTTTTCCCCTTCTTTTTAAATTCCTCTAGTAACCTGGTGATTGTAATTTGATATGTAAAACGAAATATACCTTCAAAAGCACCCTATCATTATTGTTGATGTAACCATGCCACTCCTCATCAGATGGATAACCACCTGCAAAATCCTCTAAAAGTGGAGTCCTATATAAAATAAATAAAATCAGTAATCACGCAAAAATTGGCCGCAAAACTCAACAAACTAGAAAAAGAACAAGAGACCTCATCTTGAGACAAAATGTAGAGGGAATAGGCTGTGCATCAGGAAATACATCTGTGATATGAGGAATATTAAACCGCCTTTCGAAATCTTCTTGGTACTTAATTTTCCAGTCAGCATCGCTAAAATCAATCGACGAATTCTGCTTGCTAATCTCAGCAAAGACGCCAATTCTCTTAGCGATTCTACTCAAATTCGGCCTGAAAACGTGATAATTCGATAAAGAGAAGCCACGGGAGCGATGAAAGTGAAGAGAAGGCTTTAAGTGATGAAGAGAAGTAAGTTTAGGACCAGCGATCGAAACATGCGAGATACACTCCATGAAAAAAGCGAAGATTTCGATGCCTTTTCACTTCAAAGTAAAATGTGTGTATGAGTTTTTTCTCTCACTTTTTATTGTTTGTTTGGAGAATGAGAAAGGAGCTCAATGTAATGGAAGAGAGCGAAGAGAACGAGGGAGCGGGAGAGAGATAGAAACAGAGGGAGTAACAAGAAAAACGGCAGAGGAGGCTTTTTGGCTGTTTACCAACTGCGAAGGCTGTGGCGTAAAGAACCGAGGAGCTGCCAGTTTTTGAAGTTCAACGGGGCCCTGCCTCTCTCTGACTAACAACGACCTTCTTCCTTGTTTTAATTTTCACACGAGATTTTGTTTTCTTCCTCTAATTTATTTATTTATGAAAAAATAATAATTTATATTTTTTCCCAATATTTGGTGTATTCAGAAAAATCATCAAAATAAATTATTATCCTAGTTCAAATGAGAAAATTATTTTTTGGCTGTTCTCAAAAATAAAAGCTATTCTTTATTAAAATTTATAACCAAAAACTGTATATAATCTATTGGTATATTCTATTTGTTCCAAAATACAATCGTTTTTGGTTTGTTATTTATCCTAAAATATAAGTCATTTTGTATATTTTAAGAAGTATTAAATGATGTTTTTCTAATGTTGTTCTTGTTTACACTAAATATAATAAATACTTCACAAATACATAAATAGCTTTCACAAGGCAACCTATTAGTTTTGAAAAAGATAAATGATAATAAATACTTCACAAGCAACTATTAGTTTTGAGATAAATGATAATTTGATCAAATTACTCTTGAATTTGTTATAATCTAGGAGAATTAATTGTTCATTGATTCTTGTTCAAAAATTTTAAACGACTTATATTTTGAAACAGATAAATATCTAATTACAATGATTATAATTTAAAAATCAATTTTAAAATGGTGTCCAATGAAGAAATTAAAGATAAGTTGAATGTTAGACTTTCTATATAAAAATATAGAAACATATTGATTTGTATCTCATATCTATATACAGTTTCCACTTAATGAAATTTCTAGTTTAATTTTTTCCAAAAAAAAAAAAGGATAAGTTGAATGTTATAATTCTGGCATTAACCTTAAGAAAAATTGATTTTTAGATACTAATAATTTATGGTAATATAACTAAGTTATAAATTAAATTAAAAGAAAATTTTACTAAAATCAGGTAAAAACAAGAAGAATTGCAAAAATTGATTTTTGTAATACAAATTGAACTTAAAAATTAATTGTTTAAAGTAAAATGAAAGAAAATTTACTAAAATCAAGTAAAAACAAAAAGAATTGCAAAAAATGATTTTTGTAATACAAATTAAACTTAAAATTTATTTTTTAAAAGTAAAATGGTAAACTGGGGTAATATAGGTATGTTTTTTCTTAATAATAAAATTATTTTTTAATTAAAAAAATAGATGATCAAATTATAAATTATTTACATCAAATAAATCATTATTATTGTCAGCAAAAAAATAATTTATTTTTTTAACTTTTATGAAATAATATTTTTATTTAACAAATAAAACTCCATTTTGTTGTTGAATTTTCAATTGCCTTATGATTATATATATTAAAAACAATAGTCAATAATAAGTGTCAATAAATATATGTTAATAAATATAATTAATGTAAGAAGTTTTGCTTATTTAGCAATAAGTAGAATTTGCTGTTAAAAATTTTGGGCAGTATTATTTCGAGAGCGCATTTTGTTAATAACATAGCAACTAATTTTCTTAATATTAAACTGGCTATATTACTCTTCTAGTTAAATATTACGTTTAACCCATAAAATCCCTAACTCTTAAACTCAAGGCTTTCTATTTTCTCTCAAATCAATAAAACTGATTAATCCATGATAAAACCAATTAATCACACTAAAAAACTGTAAATGGTTAAAATTTCAAATTTTTCATAAATTTGCCATTAATAAATGGCTTTTAATGGCAGATTTATGAAAAATTTAAACTTTTAACCATTTACAATTTTTAGCGTGATTAATTATTTTTATCATGGATTAATCGATTTTATTGATTTGCGAGAGAAATAGAAAGCCTTCAGTTTAAGAGTCAGAGATTTTATAGGTTAAACAATACCTCTGAACATAATCCCCCTGACTGTTAATATGGTTAGTATTATTTGTTTGTGAAGTGCGGGGTTAGTTGTTTATTGGGTAGACATGCCATCTACTTTCATCCAATCATGCCCCTCATATTCGCATCTTGCTTTCAAACTTGTTCTCGCTCACTCTATAATTCAATCGGGTGGAACATTTGTGTATTTTTTTTTTTCTTTTCTAGTACCCTTTTTGTTCGCCAATGTATAAAAAACAAATAGTATGACAAGTAAGGACTTTCATTAAATCGGTAAAAATATTCGTGAATTTGAATATTTAAATCCAAAATTTCTTAATTTTATATTCTTAAATACATGAGTTAGAAAATCAATTTTCATTAGTTTTGGATTTAGAAATTCAATTTATATTAAGTATATAATATGAAATTCAGTAACTTTATTATTTCAATCAGTATTATTTTTATTTTTTTTGTGCTTAACTTGAAAATAAATAATTTCAAGCAATTTTGATTATTTAATATCAAGTCTAAAAATTTAAAACTATTTAAGATTTATTATAAAATTTAACAAAATAATTCTCTTTGATTTATCTTAACCTTATTTTAGTATTGCAATGATACATTATATATTAATTAAAATAAATATACATTTTTTTGTTATTTTATTGTTCATAGAAAATAATGCAGAATTATTAAGTAAAATTGCAATTTTAATTATTAAAACTATAACTAAAAATTTAAAAGCAGGTCATTGACTATAAATAACTAAACGCTAAACCAATAAAACAAAATTACATTGCAGGTTAGATTTTAAAAAACAACAGAAAAAAAAAAAAAAAAAAAAAAATAGAATTTTAAAAAAACATACCAGAAAAAAAAAAAAAAAAAAAAAAAGGAAAATTGCCGGCATGCAACCTTTTGGGACTGTTTGGCTACCTACACTCCCTAGAAGACAGTCCAAATTTTCCATCGTTTTCCTCGGCCTTTTCTCTTTATTGAACAGTAACCCAGGTTGATTTGTACACTTTCACATGGCCATCACTAGACAATAGTGGTAGTTTGTCTGGAAGGATAGAAATTAAGAATGAGAGAAAGGGGTAGGTGAGAAAAGGAAGGAAAGGAAGGAAAGGAAGGTATTCTTTTCCTTTTCTTGTCATAACCAAAACCAAATAAAATTTAAATTCTTGTTAGGCCTAATAATTAAAAAACAAGGTCTGCCATTTTGACAATTGTAGTAAAATTCTTTTAATTTTATAATAATTTTTTAACTACAATTATAATTTCATCCGATCATCGTGTATGTCCAAAAAATGCTAAAATAGTTATTTGTAGTATATACAATAAATTTATCTCTAAATAAATTTTGCAGTACAAATGATATAAACACCTAAACTGAAATACCCTGAAATTTTATTTTCAAAACTTTGGAATTTTTATTAAATCAAAAATCCGAATTTTTAATAGTATGGGTTGTTAAGACCGAGCAAGTTTAACTTGAGCCCAAATTTGAATTGGGCCCAAGCCCAATAAACAGACTGTCCGGAAATTTTGATGAAATAATAAACAGACTGTCCGGAAATTTTGATGAAATAAAATGGAAAGCTACTATATAAACTAATTATCCTGAATTAACTAGTGTTTATTATTATTGTTTGTATTATTAGAAAGTAAAATTGAAAGAAATTGTTTTTGACCAACTAAAATAATTAATAAATCGAACCCGGGACCCGAAAATCAATTTGAATTGTCGAAACGCCCACGATAATCCAGAAACCGAGTGGAAAAAAACTCGAAAACCTAAACAAAATGAGACCAACCATTAAAATCAGAACAACCGATGGTTCAAAATCGAACCCGGAACTGGTCACTAGAAGGCCACTTTCTTCCTTTTCCTCTTTTTCTTTTCCTGTTCCCTCCTCTCTCGTTTTCTTTCCTTCTTCTTTCTTCTCGCGCGCGACATCCTCTCCTCTCTTGCTCACTAACGATCTCCGTCCCACCGGCCATGGAAAGTCGCACCAAGCAACTCCATCTTGCCTCCATGCTCGTCGAGATGAACTCTTCTATGGTCTAAAGTTCGCGTGATGAGGCCTGAAATGAGAAAGAGATCGCGAATTGGAAAGGCTATCCACAGCGCGATGAAGTTTTTCCGGCGAAATCTCATCATCTCCGTCGACTCCAAGTGCTAGGGTTGGTCCTCAAAACAACTCCCTCTCCTACATAGAATCCTTTTTCCCCCATTAATTTGTGATGTTGCTTGAGTTTTGATAAAATCCAGAACCATGACGGCGGCTTGAAGCTGGCTGTGGAGCTAGATCCGCCAAACGAGGACTGGCTCAACAAAGTGATAGCAAGCATTTTGGATTTCCTCACGAAAATTGGAGGCGGGTGGTGTGTACCTCACGAAAATTGGAGGCGGGTGGTGGTGACCTTGCAATTTTCTAGGCGGTTTCACTTTTCCGGCCACCGTGCACGGCGGTCGGCGGCAGCGGTTCGGTGACCGGCCGGCGGAACTCCGGCGAGGCCCCGAGAGACAGAATCCTCTTCTCTTCGCGCTAATCATGGAATCGTCGCCCGATTCCCAATGGATACGTTCTAAGACTCAATTCTCAATTTTTATATATATATAATTAATTGATTAATGAATTTAATTGAGTTATTAAATAGACTAAATTGAATAACAAGAAATTAACTTATTGGATTAACTTAAAAAAATATGAACATTTATAGTCTTTTGTAAATAAATTAGATTGATTAGTGTGCGTATTTGGATAGCGAACATGATTTGTTAACTGGTTTAGGACTTTAGAATAATGTAATTGTAAATTAGTTTAGAACATTGTCAAATAAATTACATGATTAATATTATGATTAGGTGATTTGAGGAGAAAGAATAAATTAGAATTAGTTAATTAGTCAATTAGATTTTTTTTTTAGGAGGAGAGAACTGTGACATCCTACCGAGTCGAGTCGAGTCAAGTCGAGTTGAACCAAACCCGGTTGGGGTAGAATGGGTTTATAAGTGGACTTACTTGTTTGAGAGAAAAAGATCAAAGTATAAGGGTTAGGATTTATTTGCATTAAAAGATCAAGCTTGGGTATTAAGTTATAGCTTTTTGCCACTTGAGGTACCATTTAGTAAGTTTCACATCATTTTTCTTGATATTTTGATGGCCTACCCGTGATAATCATTTTCACTTTCCCATTTTCATCTTT